ACTGGACCGGGCGGAGCCGGGTATGCCAGCTAGTTTATAATAATCAGTGAGAATAGTGTTCTTTTCTCTTTATAGTACTACTATTGTTTCGATTTCTCATAAACCATTGAAATGATTTCTATCTATTTATTTGGCACTATTATTTATTTCTGGTTTGCTGAGGCGAATTTTACTTTTGTCTATCACTTTGTTCTTTACGATATGAATCCACGCAATAGTTGTAGATGAACTGCGGTGTATGGAAATCAAGTGCAGTTTTTTTCTGAAAACGTAGCTTAACGATAAACAAATTAAAGATGCTTTCAGTTTTGTTATGAGGAGCTTACCTAGACTTACATACACATACAAACTTCGGAACCCTAACGTTGAAAAAATCACCAACTTAAGACTCGGTAAATCGTGATTTCAACAATTTCATCTTAGATTTGGAGCTATATTCTGGCTGGTGCACTCTCAGAAATCACAGAATATTGTAAAAGCTTGTTAAGAGATGAAATAGATTTAAACTTGATAAAAGGGTGAGAAAATGCCAAACGTTAGATTTTGCAAACGTTTAGGACGTTAAAAAGAAACAGAAAATTCATTTTTGTTACCGAAACAGGTAATCTTTTAACAGGTAATTTTTTGAATATCATTACAGTATCTTGCTCTGAACAATAATACTAATGTGCTATCTGTACAAAAGAACATCACATCATGGTCTTTTCATTCTTACTTTGTTAGCAATTTAAATCGATTCGCAGCCATTCATGATGACCTTCGGACTCGCAAAGTCCGTGTGACAGGTCGTAATGACCGAACGAATGCATCAAGACATTTCAAAACTTCTTTCATTTAGCTTATATCCATCCTATTAACTCTACTTCAATATTTCTAGTGTTTGAAGATACCAACATCCGAAATTTAACTCGTATTCAATTTCTCTATTGAAATAAACTTTCTTGATATGTTCGCTTCCCATCATTCTGTTGTTCTGCAATTTTGAAATGAGTTGCGCTCGAACTGATTCTATCAGATTGATTGCACAAGCATGCTCCAGCACCACTTAGTGCTCTATCGATGATTAATGGCGGCATTCACATCAATGACGCATTCCTTCTTTTCATCTGTCAAAGCTCTTGATTTCTGACTTTCTGGATCTTTACGGTAGTATAAATGTAA